TTATGAAGAAATTCTTCAATATTACCTTGCTAGTAGTAAATGGCAACCAAGGTTATTACTTCAAAAAGGACCAAGAAAAAGAATAATTATAAAACAAAACAGGATGGTTACTGCAATTACTACAAAAAAAGAGAGCAGTGAATTATCGATTTTGAAATTATTTAGAGAAGTGAGTGATATAAGTAGAAAGAGAAGTGGGTTACTGTGATTACAGCATAAAAGAATTCCTTTTTGAAATAATTTTTTATAATCAAATGTTAGGTTTTCTGCATTTTAAATAAAATTTTTTTGGCTATTTATTCAATTATTTGAAGCTTAAAAGCATTGGTTTGCATTATAAATTAATGCTGTACAGTTTTACAAAAAACTGGATGGTCTTTTTACATTTCAAAAGCATAAAAGAGATAATGATTCAAACATGGGATATGTTGAATATAGCTGCTGCCCTTAATAAATATTGTAGTGTCATGTAGTTGCCATAATAGTTTCCAAATTAGCTCTGTAATATTTGAACTCTAAGTCAAATGGCATATTGATATATAGTTATTTTATGTTTGTTCATATGAAGAGTATTTGATTACATATAAACATTAACTCAAAATACCATTCTGCTTGTTGTGCCCATATATATATTATAATAAACACATGCATTCATTTAAAATTTTTATCATAAAGCCTTGAAAGATAACATAGCAGGCTTTATCTGTGATTGGTCAATCCATAAAGAAATTGATTGGATAATTTTATAATATGCTGATCATTATTAAAACCTTTTAATATTGCTTTCAAAGACAATAAAATAAATAGATTCTTAGCAATATTTTTGTTTGTAATTGGTTCAGCAAAAACATTAGGGTGAAAACTAAGGATGTTAGCCGAAATTGGCTCACTTAATAAATGATTGTTGCCTAATCTGAAATGCCAAAATAGTTTTTCATAGATGCTGAAATTAATCTTATTAGTTGCTGAAATTATATCTGAGATTATTTGAACACTTTAACTAAATAGCTGAAATTCTGGGTAGTATTTTATGCCTATAGATATAAAAAATATTGTAAATCCAAAATTGCTTGCCGAAATTGTTTTTTTTTCAAAATCCATTTCAGCTAACATCCTTAGTGAAAACTCTTGCTATAATTACAATGTAATAAAGCACACCTATGGTTTGAGACAGCACATCATATATCAATAATACATTGAAAACCAATAAATGTATCATTTATTCACTACTTATGATATATTAAATATTACATGATTCTTATCTAATGAATGAAAGATATTGAATATATTAATATTAAATAAATTATAATAAATTTGTTCATGAGTTCTCATCATAGACTAATAACCAACTCATGCCTTCTTTTGGTTCAGTAGTCCTTTATATGACATGATTTAGAACTATGAAATAATGCAAAAATTATGATTAACATTTATAAATGTACCTACAAAAGAATAATTTAAATAAATGCTTTACTTATTCAAATTACTAACCAGGATACTAAACAGAACTTGGGCTTTCTATTGGTATTATTTATGGTCCCTAACAGTTGTTAATTTAAGTTTATTATTTTCAGTGAACATATGATTTACCAAATGCAAAAAAAGATTTCTATAACTAACATCTGAATTACTTCACCTTTTACTGAATTGCTTTTGCAATCTATAAAGTAGAAAGTGGAGAATTAGAATATATTGTTGATATTGTTGTACAATCGATTTTGGTGACATACAATTGAGTTAAAGCCAGATGACAGGACAGTTTGTATATAACATGTGTTGCAATTATTGCCGATCATCCTCTAAAATTGAGTATGGTGCGAATCATCTAAAGACATCACGTGCTGCGCCACTTGCCGAAATTTTTATGCTGATCTTGCCTTATAAAGAATCCAATATATAAAAATAAATCCAAATTTGTAAAAGATCTGTGACTTTGTCACGTGAATAATTGGTAAAATTGTGAAAATAATCTGTAAATTGCAGTTTAGATATATAGTTGCCGAAATTTCAAATAAAATAGCAAAGTTACCCAACTTTAAACCATTATAACTTTTTTTTTAATTAAATAACTCAAAAAAAACTTTCTATTACATTATTTTTCATGTCTAGAATATTGCAAAAATAGAGAGTTTTTGGTAAAATAGCCCATATTTAATAAAGCATCAGCACTTAAAGATTGGCAACATTGATGATGTCTTTAGATGATTGCCACTATAGGAGAGTTCCTGAATCTGTACTAATAGATATGGAAACTATGACATGAAATTTAAAAATCCAAATTTGTAGAAGATCTGCTGCTTTGTCACGTGAATATTCGGTAAATCGTGAAAATAATCGGTAAATCACGGTTTAGATGG